CTACATAAGAGATTACATATCGCATTCAAAATGGCTCCCTCTAACTTCAATAGAAGCATCCAATCACTTTTTGAAATTCTTGAGGATGCGCGCGATCATTTCCGGCGAGATTTCTCGAACGACTTTCAATTCCTCCGGTCTCTTTGAAAAGTTTTATGACTCGGTGTACTTGCTCTCAGTACATGCAGTTTGAGTGACTTTGAAATGTCGGTAGCTGAGAAGCCGCACTTTTGCATAGCGACTACTGCAGAACGATCATATTATGATACCATTTTTACCTAGAAATGAGAATAATGCTGACCAAAGTAGGACTAAAAAATACGAGGAAAACGAATAACACCACACCAAAGCAAAAAAAATGTTTAAAAATGCTGGAAAATGGATTTTTCGTAGTCCGTCACACTTCATGTGGACCACTCTGTAGTTATAGTGCTAGTTCATTTACATATGCCTTACTTACCGGTAAATCTACGAACTCTGCTGAGATTTATGCTGACTCATTCAGTTCATATGCCTCAAGTGATTTGAGTCATTCATGTTATACTCCGCTGACTCACTTATATATGCTCATGATTACTGGTGACCACATCGCTCTTTTATGAATTACGTCATTTTGTCGTTCTAGCATGCTGTTTTTACCATAAACTAATCCATTATCTTCGTTATAACATACTTTTTGCAGACGATCAACATTTGCTTTTGTTTCTAATCATAATAGACCATAAACCCGTATGGTATGAACAAACTGTCAATCGTGAGTTCGCGCATGTTCTCTGTTTACTACAAGCGAAGCTTCCGCAGGGTTTATCCGTCGAAAAAGGATGATGGGAAGTTTCTAAGATTTACAGGATTTTCGCAATGCTTGAATGGCATTTCCGAAGAGGAGATGCTAAGATTTCGCAAATGATTTGAGAATTCTTCCAATGGAGCTTTGAGGAAGCTCTACCGGATTGTCTGAGTTAGCAGGATCCAAGCTGAAAAGGTTCGACGTTTCTACTTTTATTGGATACGTAGTCAGAAGTAACCCTTTCGGAAGTGCCACCTGTTGATGGTTCTCCTGCTCCGCTTCGATTAGCGATTAGTGCAAACTCTGAGCAAGTTCCGGCAAGGCTGCCAAAGCTTGGAAGAAAATTGATTGTCCTTTCGCTATATATAGAAAGAATAAAAACCGTACACATTACATCTAATCTTCGTTGGCAAGACCAGTGTCAAAGGCAAAACATCAAGAAAAAAACATCAACACCAGTGATGACAGCACTCTCAAAAATAGTTTCGCTAATTCAGATGGAGCGATATGCTTTTGCACAAAGATAAGATTGGCATTCCTATAACCTTGCGTAATAGGTGTTCAACACATTGTTCATCATAACTCAATTGATTAATTGATCAATCATACCGCATATCAGAAATGATCTTATCATCAAACATGGACCACAGGTTAGTGAGTTAATTATTTTGAAGAATCCCCTTGACCAAAAAAAAGCAATTGAGGCTCCACCCGAGGCGATGCCGGCGACCGCCAGCGTCAGCGAAACGACGCCGCTGGAAGTCTCTCTTAATGGACTTCTCGCGGCGTCAAGCGGCGATTTTGATGCCCTTTGGCAATCTTTAACAGTTTTTATAATTAGACTGAGAAAAATGATAAGGAAATTCGGTTTGCTAACAGTCAGGGAATTGTGGTAATTAAAATACCACGGTGATAATTGTGGAAATTATCTACTAGTCATGAATGATTATTTGTAATTTGTTGGAAGAATATATTATGAAACAAAAAAATACGGAATACGAATGGTATCCTTACAGTGTGACCTTATACTACCTCTTTTTTAACTGCAGTTGCCTGAAGCAAGCCTACAAGATGTAGGCATTACAAACTTACACTACACTTGTTAATTCAACGCCAACTTATCAATCTTTTGCTCGTCCGTGGCTTTGTTTGTAG